AACCATATATTACCATGTAGACTATAGTTTAGTTGTCGTAACCATATATTACCATGTGGACAGTCTAGTTGTCTTAACCATATACTATCATGTAGACTATAGTTTATTGTCGTAACCACATATTACTAAGTAGACTACAGCGTTGTCATCTTGTCTATATACAGCCATGTGTAATACAGTCTAAACGTTCTGTTTATGAAGGATATACAACCATGTAAATAGATAACACATTAAAGGATCATGTTATAACACATTCTGTTGCCCTGGTTACAATTCAATAGTAATGAACGAGTGTGTATCACAAGAACTCCTTCATTGTTCAGATATATACATACAATTGTTCCTCAAATTGCTTTATTCGATAAAGGGACGTAATTTTCACAAATTTCAAGAAGAAAGCAGAATTGATTGTTAGCGTCTTTTTTTTTTTTCATTTTAAGAATGTCTTTCCTCCAGTTAGTATGGGTATCATCGGTAGACTTAGTATACACTAACGAACACTTTGTGAGTGTAATTACTATAGTTAGTGAGGCTATTTATTTTCATTTTCTGATACGGTAGCTAGTTTTGTTTTCTGTGAAAAATGGGAACATTTATACAGGACTGGATAAAGATAACCAAATATCCAGATTATATAGCCTCGTTATAGGCCAACTAATTGATAGGTTTATTACGTCAACTAGTTTATCGTATTTTGGTGGTTTAAACGATGCAGGATAATCGATAGTTTAACTTTACTCTGTTTCTCTACCATGTGTATCTGTTGCCACAAGTTGTTGTGAGGAACTGGCTGAATCAATGTTGATTACGTTTGGTAGAGAAACTTGAGTGACCCCCCCCCCAAAAAAAAAATGAATAAGTAATCGGACGAACGGTTGCAGTTTAGCAGCTATTTAAATTTTACTGCCTTAATGCTTTGAATGAGGGCTCAAGTGAGAGAGAAGGTCAGTATCAAATGAAAGTAATGCTTAATGCCAAAGCACGGGTATTCTTTGCATGGAATGAACGGTTTATGTGCTACAACTCATAATTGTGGAAGGGGTCGGCAAACATCCCTATTTTTAGCATTATTTTCCAAGTTCGGCACTTCCGGGTACCTTTACTACTACATATATATATGGAATGTATCAGAACTACATATTTACATTAAAAAAATGTTTGGTATAGTGTAATGGTATCTAAAATTGATCGTTTATGAGAAGGGTATGTAACAGCCCTTTTTTCAAGTACAAAAAAACGATATTGATACACTGAGATGTTAAAGATGTGTTTAGACTGGGGATTTAGAATTTTCAAGACGAGGATATTCCTTGTACTTAACAGAATAAGAAAAAAAAAACGAAATATGGATCAACTTGGGCCACCAGGAACATCTAGAAAAAATTATAAATCAAGTCATACCCCAGCGTGGTAAGCAAAGTGTGGCGTCTTTTAACAGGTGAGAATCCACGAACACAAAGGTCAGTAGCAAGCACCGTCCACGTTACCCAGACAACAATGCACAAAATTAGAAAGTAAAAGTGACAAATGTCATGTATACACACGTTTCTTCCATGATTTGTTCGTTTAACTGTTACATATCTCAAGCAGTTGGATAATGAATCGGGTATTCATGCTGCTCCATACAAAGCCATAACAGTCAAGTCGCCGGATTTCTGTGTGCGTGGACTGTTTAAAATGGACGCTGGGAAAAAGTCGACCTCGTACACTAGATGAATTATAGAAAGCAAACAAGGAGGAGTGGTGTGATTTAGATATGACAATCGAAAGAGAGAGAACCTTTTACAATGGAAACTACATAGCGTGGCTATTGTAAAGATGCACTGTCGTCAGCTAGAACATGACTGGACGTTGCGACATGGATAATGAAGTTGTGATACTCCAAAATCGTTGTAAAATAATACATTCAATCTCTGTATACATATATATATAACGTGACAGTTTCTATTTTAAAGTGCATATTATTATCCATTTTTATACTTACTATTTTACCAAAATTCTTTCCAAAATGAAGTGGGGGAGGAACATCTTACACCCCCTGGGTCACTTTTTCGGTTGCTTCTTTCTTGCATGCCACTTTCACTAGACCATCGGCAATTCATTAAGTGCAAAACAGTAAAGATACATCTTCACGTTAAAACTTTATAGTTCTATTTTTGATTTTCTCTCATTGTAGTCTCTGTCGTTCTTCGGGTCTTCATTATACGAATAATGTGAGGCATGGTGTTCTTGGTATTCACACTTGAGTTAATGAACCTAAAGAACCATTGTAAGGAGCATGAAAAACAAAACAGTTCGTGATAGATAACGTGAAATTACCCACACCCTGTCAGCACAGTTTGAGATTTCTAAGGCCGCTATTTTTGTCTTCTACCAGTACAGCAAGAGATCCTATGTGGGCGTGAGTCCCGGACCTTCCGGCCTTTGCGCGACAACTACACAGCTGCAGATCAGCAAGCAGCCCAATAGATTATGCGATTCTTTCCAAGGCCTGAAAGAACAAAACAGTAACTGAAACTCCTACTAGACTATCAAATTAAGTCAGCTTTTCTGAAATGAATTGTCGGAATTAAGTCTGAATCGCATCAACACGCGTTTTTATCGGACTTTGGACACGTGATCTGGTCTTGGAGACTAGCTTTACACTGGAGCTTTTCTTCATTCTATATCTATTGCGCTTATATTTCTTAACTGATGAATCGTGATCCGGATGGTTTCCATTGCTACTGAGCATGAACTGTGTTTTGAAATCTGAGCATCTTAGTTGCGTTTCATTTCGGCGTCACGACATCCGAAAACAAAATATATTTGTTGCTCTAACCGGGTCATCACAGAATCGTTTTCATTTTTAAATTCAATTTCTATCTGAAGAAATTTTTTAATAATTCTTTTTTTTTGTCGAAGTATACCACAGGAATAATTACACACGTATATAAAGACGTTGTTAAGTCTTCTGCGAAAGTTTTCTTTACGATTTAATTTACTACGCAGATAAGGTCAGATTTGACAAACCCGATTTAATATATAAGGTCAAATCGGAGTTTATTAAAGAACGTCGTCAGTGTTTGCTTCATATTTTTTAATGAGTTAATGTATCCTGTTCGATAATTTATCACGAAAATTCCTATTTTCTCCTATTTTAAATGTCTGTTTCGAAATGTTATTGTTACATTGTGATTGACAGATTAAATCAGTGTTGTAGCTTTTCGTAAGCTATACTGTTGTATTTTATTTCGCACATTATTCCATACTAACAAGTTGGAGAATTCCAATACGAAAGAACGTGAGTAGTTTTTTCTCTCTCTTGACGTTTTAGTCAAGAGCAACAAATATTCCACATATGTCGTTTCTGTCTGGTGCAATTTTGGAACCTCGTGACGCTCGATCGGGTTGAGAAAAGTAGTTCAAAATTAAAAACTCTCGGACACTACCAACCCAGTGGAAAAGTTCAGTCCTTAGCTAATGGCTGGGTACTTCGAACAGAAAGATAGCTTCTGCTGTTGTGACGATTGTTTGTTAGGCATAACGGACGTCCTTTGTGAAGTTACTTGTCTGAGCTTACATCAGGCTATAAAACGAAAGGTAAGGTTTCAACAAGTTAAGTACGCTACTTTAGATGAGTACTTTTCGAATGAAAGAAGACCTTTTAAAATTAAAGAACGATTAGATCCTTTTAATTCTGTATAGCTTAAGTTTATCGAAGCACTTACGTGGTGAAAAAGTAGCCACATTAATAAGCATCCGTAAAAAACCCACAAAAAACAAATAAAACAACGTTAGAAATTAGAGATCACGATAAAAGAAATTAACCCAGCCTAAATATTTGTTAGTTTTTGTTTTTATTCTACAATGGGCTATCTGTTGGTGCTCACTGCTGGTATCGAAACCCGTTATAATCCCCCAGGCTTAACGGAGGATATTTTTTAAAAAACCGAAAATATTAATATAACAAACTGATATTGTGGTTCCAGTTTACACGGAATGGGGATTGTCTACTGCTAATAGATCGAGTTATCAGTTTATAAAGAGAACAATAAATGATCAAAACATTTTGTCAAGCTGCACACTCACCACAGTAAACTACTGGAATACTGAAATTACTTGACACGTGTTGTGTTTGTCTATAATTTCGCTCAAACTATGCACATAGCTATCCCTAGTTTCCACCTGATAGACTAGAGACTAGGCAACTAGTTAATAGCAACCATCGCTAACTTTTGGGCACTTTTGCCCAATAAAGTAGCAGGATTTGACAGCCACCCTCACAAACGTCCCCAAACTGTAGAGCGAGAGTTTTTCGGCAACGAGTCTCAAACCTTGAATCTTCGAATTCACAGTCCCGGTACGCTATCCAGTAGGTCACTCTCACTCCACAAGTGGTGTGAAGCTTGTTTGTTGAATTTAATGCAAATCTATTTGAGGGTTATCTGCACTAGTTCCCAAATTTATAAGTGATAGACTAGAAGAAAAGTAGCTAGTCAACACCATCCGCCGCCAACCCTTGGGCTACGTTGATCGTATAGTGAGATTGCTCATGGACGAGCATGGTCGGTGATAAGATTCGAACCCGTGACCCGTAGATTGAGAATTGAGTGCTGTAACTACCATACCAACCAAGTCGGTCGTGTTAAAAAACAATATTTTCTTAACAAAGTGAATTTAATTGTGGAATTGAAATTCTCACATGAATATTTAAAATTAAGGGTTATTTTTGGGACTGAATTGATGTTTAATGTTAGGTTAATGCAAAAAATATTGAATTTTATTTTTTTTAAAAGCCACATTCTGACACGCTCATGCATTCAGAAGAAGCTGTCTAGAAGCTTTGACAGGCTAAATACAGAATAATCCGAGGTTTACATTGTTATGTAAGTTCGTGGGATGTTGGTCCTTTTACAAATATGGCTCATTAATTTTTACATCACTTTCATACTGTAAAGTACACATTATCAGAATGAATCTATATTTACTTGTCCCCGGGCTTTGTTATGATATAGTTTGGGATCCCTTGAGGAATAGAGAATACAATTAAACGCTATGAGTTAACAAAGGAGTTTCCTGCGTTGAAAGCAAAGATCTAGTTATTATTTTATAAAAATTTGTTAAGTTACTGGATAATAGAATGCTTAAGTTGTGAAACCCACGTTATGTGATTTTATCACGAGGAATGTATTGGTTAGGATATCTTCTTGCTCCCCGGAGAATAGAACCTAGAACTTTAGATAAAGTAATATATATAAGTTAGGATGACGTAGTTTTATGTACATGTATTTAAGACACTGTACTGGTATAACTGGTATGATATAACACATTCGGCATGTCCCGAGCCTTTGTCATGGTGGGCTGATAAATCTGTTGTGATACAGATCATCCGATCAGTCTTGTGTGTTTGTCATGCTGTACCGCAAAGATGAAATGATGCAAAGCAAGCGTTTTGACTTGTGAGAAAAGTAGGCTTAATATCTCCGGTATGTACTAATATGTTCTCAGTACAGCCAATTAATGCAGAATATATACTCATTTTTACCACACAATAAAGAATATTATAGTGTTTTTATATTTCACGTCCGAACATTCAGGTTTTTATCGTTATCTTCATATAAAACAAATCACGATACAATACTCTAGTTTCTTTTTAGATCTCATGTCATTTACACTGTTATTGGTGAAGAGTAGCCATTTTGATGCACTTAGTCGGATTTGAGTGGTTGAAAACATGCGATAAGAATTATGATATGTTACGTTTCTGCTGATTGGTTCAGCATAATACGTTAGCTGCGCGCCATTTGTATTAATATATAGCAGTCGCTGCTACAATAGATTATGACAAGTTGAACAACAGAATAGTTATGATTGAGACCAATAAGGAAGAGCAACGTAAGTCAATGAAAGACTTACTACTACAGAACACATCACTAGTTGTGTCAATAAGTAGATCAAAGATGTCGTAATGACTAATAAAAATACACTTGAAAATAACCCATTCGCCAGATCTACCAATAACACAGGCCTCCGATGGTTTTATTGTCTTGACATTTTTACATGTTCTACAATAATTCCTGTACGCTGAATCCGAAAATGATATCCATTTTTTGCATCACGTACAGATTTCTCACAAAACGCCATATGTACTTTTATATAAGTGACTAATTTTCATTGAAATCGGGTCACATTTTGTTGTGCTTAAAATATTGACAACCACTGGTTATAGATTTCTCTAGACCAATCGCGACGTGAGTCTTATCCATCGTTCTGGAACCCACTAGAAACATACCGCTAGTATATAAACGGTTGACAGGACGCGTGACCTGTCATTTCTGGATAGTATTTGTTTGTGCGTGCGCTTTGACAATATTTTTTCTTTTCATTATTATTTATTCATCGCTATGGCAACAAAAGGTCGTGTAAATGACCAAAATATATTCTGTTATATTTGTAGTAAATATGTTGTAAAGAAATAAAGTTAAAACATTACAGAATCTTTGTGGAGACTTAAAAGCCCTTTGTATGTTGTTGGGTGAATAATCCAGTTATACAAAGTTTCCATGTTTTTTTGTGTGTGTGAATGGGACAGCAGAGCACGAAATCAATACTGGATAAAGAATTAATGGCTACGCAGAGTCAGGCTGATATCAGGATCGAAAAACATTGAACGTGAAAGTTTGGTTCACACAATAAAAGTCCTATTAACTCCACTTCATATAAAACTGGGCTTGATGAAGCAGTTTGTAGAGGCCTTAGACAAAGATGGCAACTGTTTCAAGTATCTATGTGGACAATTCCTAGCTCTTTCAGCAGGAAAACTTAAAAAAGGGATTTTTGTTGGGCCTCAGATTAGGAAATTTACTTGGGATGAACAGTTCGAAAAGACAATGAGGAAAGTTGAAAAAAAACACATGAATTGCCTTTAAAAATGTTATTGACAAATTTTTAGGAAACAACAAGGTGACAAATTACGAAAATATTGTCAAAATTCAAAGAGTTGGGTTGTAATATGAGCTTCCAATTTTATTCCGATGTACAATTCTGGACAGTTATATCACATTATTTTATAAATGACGTTGGTATTGTGTGATTCTACATAACTTGTATTTAGTAATGATTAAGGTTTTTGGGTGAATTTGAGTTTTATGTTTAATTATTGGCAAGTTTTCTCCAACTATGAACTATTCTTCAGCTGATTTCAGGGATGAATGGGAAACTGCGAGGAAACGTTTTGTCGTTGGTTGCTTCATTAGTATTAAGTTTGTTCGTGAAGTTTTGACGTTTTTGTTGTGTTGCTTTTGTGCGAATTTTTCAACAATAACTGCTGAAATGTTATTCGTGTGAAGGAATGGATGCTTTATGTAGCCAGTTGAGCAGAGTCTCGAAGTTGTGTTTGTAAGGTTTTTTTAGAGTATATATTTTTTTTTAGTTTCATGAGCGAAATTCTAGGGTATGTAGAGGTCCGTGTGAGTGTTTTTATGGTGGCTTTTGGTTTGAACTGTGTGTCAGATCTAATAATGTCGAGGTTAAGAGACGATAACTTTTGGTGATTTTCGTGTTCAGTCGAAAATTTAATGTTCAGATGAATGAAGTTTATGTGTTCAAAGAAACTTTCTATGTGTTCTATAGAATTGAAACCAGCAAAAGTGTCGTGACATAACTGTACCGAGGTAAGGGGGGGGGGGGGTGGAAGCGCGGACTGTAAGTGGTGTGCCTTCAGTTGGGCCATAAATACGTTGGCCAGAACAGGTGAAACAGGATTGCGCATACTTAAACCATCTTTATGGATAAATTTTTGTTGTTGAAAATGAGGTTGGTTTTGGTTGTTATAACTTCTAAGAGGGAGACAAAAAGTGTACTAGGGATATGAATTAACAATTGGGGTCATTAATGTAGAGATCAGGACAATGTTAAAAGCTTCGTTGGCGGGAACTTCAGTGAAAAATGACACGACACCAAAGCTAGTCATTTAGGCTTAAGGGGTTACTAAGCTGTCAAACAATCCCCGGACACGTGACCTCTTTGTTTCGTACTTTATATATCTTACCGTGTTTATGTAAACTATTTGTATCTGATGATGAAAAAAAATCTTGTCGAAGGGTTGATACATTTGTTACTATGTTAAATATGTAACAGTGTTTTTATTACCCATTCGAGCAGTTTTCAAAGTTTAAGATACCGGAGTTATGATCGAATCTTCACGCACTCTGAGTTGTGACCGAAACTTCACATACTCGAAATTTGTAACCAAGGAGTGCCGAAAGGTCAGTTAAACGGAGCAGGGGCGGCGAACACCAAATCTCGTGGTATTCCTTAATCAGGAATCACCCATGTGCGCTTAAATAACATGACCTTATTTTGATGAGGAGTAATAGGAAAATTGCATTGACGCTTCATTAAATGCACAGAACAGGGGTGGAAGTAATTCGCGAACCACAAAAAATACAAAAAAAAATGTTTGAATTTGAGATTGAATCAGTTAAAGATTGGTGTAAAAGATGTTCACACCATAATAATTGTTGTAACAAATGGCTTATCAGTGAGTATAGTAGTACTTAGTATCTAGGGATGGGTCATTATCGA